CACCTACGGGAGTCCTGTGGAAGTGTGTGTGTGTGTGTGTGTGTGTGTGTGTGTGTGTGTGTGTGTGTGTGTGTGTGTATGCCTGTGTATGTGAGAAAAGAGCTGGTTACACAACCTCGCTCTCTTTATCATCCACAGATTCTGCAGGAATCGTTGGCAAAACCAGCACACAGGCAACGTGTTGGGCAAAACATCACTCAAAGCACGCACCCCCGGGGGTCTTCAATTAGACTCTAAATACCTCACCAAGCATCGAGGGGTCTTAATTACTTCAGACTGTTGAGAAAGACAGCGGACCAGCTCAAGCCGAGGGCTTACCGAGGATATACCTGTTTAGAATAGACTCTAAAGCCTGAAATCAGAGGGGCTTTCCTGTGCTGTTGATCTAGAGCTACAGACAGAGGAAGCCCTCTCTGTGCATCAGAACTGGCTGTTGCTGCTGGTGTGCTGTGGATGTATTTATAGCTGGGGGGCGAGCGACTACTGCAGGATTAATTCTTGAAGCAGAGAGCGCCGAGAGAAGCAGAGGCAGCAAAGGTCCACGGATCAAGTGGGGAAGAGTTAAAAATATAGCTGAGGCTGCATGTATTTGCTCTCTTGGATACAAAGCGTTGGTTCGCAAACAGACCAGGGTGCACAAACATTCAAGACTCAGAGAGATCCATCGATCAGCGCTATGAGTTATAAAATCAACGACCTTTTCCTAAATCAGCAAAGAAAGGCATTAAAGGCCAAACTGGAAGAGGGGAAGCGTCAATGCAAGGAACACCAGAGCAAACACGAGTTTGTATTTCTGGCCTTATTAGGGAATCATATTCATTTCTTTTTACTGTGCAACTCAAACTGAAACTCAATACACACCTTAGCCTTCAACCTGACCAAGGACCCAAAACTGACGGTGCAACTCAATTAGGACCAGGTTTGGTCCTCAAAAGGACTGGTTTTCAAAAAGTTAGAGTACTGCAACAGCAGGAGTAAACAAGACACAGACTCCCATCTCTCTCAGAGACACTCTTCAGTTAATTGTGGGAGCTTCCAAGGTGGTCCCGGACCAGAAGGAATAAACAGTCCCTTCTGCGACTTCTGAGTGGGAGGCACCCAACAACGAAGGTCGTGAGGAAGGACCAGGGTACTGGATCCTGATCAGTTGCCCAAACCATTGAATCAGTTTCAAGAAATTTTATGGAAATAGCAAGGCTTATCTGGAAATCACTGTAGAGTCAAAATGTACTAATCAGTTTCTTAGGTTTATCTTAGAAGGGGATGAGACGGCTTTGTTTGCAGCAACGGAGGTAAAGCAATCATAAAACTAAATGAGAAGAAACTAAATTACATTGTAGAATCAAATTATGAGAGTTGTTGCTGTGAATCAAAACAAGACACTTTACAAGAGGTTAGATTTATGTCCAGTCATAAAGAACCCCAAGAGTCACAATCCATCCAACTCTATAGCTGTCAATAGACAAGGCAGGTTCACTAGTCTACTACAAGGTTCTCATTCATTCCAGTAAAGTCCAGTGCAATCATATTTTCAGATTCAGAACAAATAAATAGTCTACCTAAGGTTGCAGTTTGGAAATGGCACCAGAGGAAGTGGACAAGCAATCGTTTCTCAATAGCCAAGGGTCCAGATCCTGCGTACAAAGCAAAGCGTAGAACAATGGGCTGGTTTTTACAAGGCTAATCGTTTTATGTCTAATGGTAAAAAGTTGTCCAGGAAATCGCAGCAAACTGCATCGAATTATTGCAGCAATCACTCAACAGGAACAAGCACAAGGTGACACTGGAGAGACTTAACTACCTTTTAGCAGGAAGAAACTTCCAGAAACCAGGCTTAGGATATACCAAAACTGGTAGGTTGGTAGGAGTACAGGAAGGGGAGTTGGTCAAGTAGGGCGTCATTGAAATTCATCCAAACCTGACACAGTCAAGAAAGGTTTAGTTATCCCCTCATGCATTTATTACCTAGCTAATTAAGACAATATTTCATGTCTTTATCAAACATTATTTTGAAGTGGTACCTGACCTGGGGACAACTTTAGCAACCACACAAACTGTAAAGATACATTCACATGACAGGTTTCAGTAGGAATCTCTTGGAGTTAAAAACCCCTAATTTCTAAGTAATGTGACTAAAAACCCAAATCTGAAGTAATCTATATTCTTAATAAGACTGCATTGTACAGTCCATACACAGGGCTCTCTGTGGGGAGGCTGGACCAACAAATTAAATGTTTGAGAATCCCAGACTTGGATAATAGTATCATAGATTGCCTCTACTCCCCGCGGAGGCCACTGGGCTCTCATGTAAGACCTTTAAAGATTTGACATTTGCAGACATGGAAATCAGCTGTGATCAGTGCCAGACTGAGCCAGATCACAAAGAAGAGGGTGCGGGGGGATGAGTGGAGAGGGCAAGGGAAGGGAAATGAAGTCTGGGAGTGAGAGTATCAAGTGTGAACGTCAGCGTTGTGGACAACGTTCCTGGAGGAATTTGAGGATGAGGACAGCTTCACTGTGTCTCAATTAAGGCAGTGACAAAGGAGGAAAGACGAGCGGGGGGCGGGAGGGAAGAAGGTGAGATGTAAAGCAGGAGACGATGCAGAGGGGATGGGATGGATGGGTGAAGTGATGGATGTATGGGCAGGACAGCGGAGGTTTGGGAGGGAGGTAGACAGGAACGAGACGAACAGAGGTAATCTGAGGGACAACAAAGCGGCTGTCTGAAACCTTCAGCACAAAGAATCATCAACCAAGTAGTGGCAACTGATTTGATCCAATATGGACTTTGGACCAGATACCAACATCATCCAACGACTGGACCCTCCTCCAGCTGTGGCTGAAAGGTCTATCAACTGATCCAGAAGAAGTGGTTCCCCATTGTGTTCATCTGCACAACCTTCTTCAGGAAGGTCGACTGAAACATAGCTAATTTTTCAAGCAATACCTGCGCAGGATATGTAGAAGTTATAAATGCTCAAGGTTACTGGGACGGTTGCTTCTACGCAGGAATAGCGTATTTTTAAACACCCACTTCTTTTTAGCCACTAAAATTTATCATATAGTCAATTTAATGAGAGAAAATGACTGTAGTTTGCTGTACGGAGAAGAAAGTAAGAGGCCTAACCTTCCCCCACCTGTTGTTGCACATTGTCAGCTGGATAAAATAATATTACACTTTCCTAGAAATTCAAATCAAATATTCTGAAGTAATTTGGTCTCAAAACATGTTTTTGTTCACATCTATGTAACAAAAATGAAAATAATAATAAATGTATTCATTAAGTTCATTTTAGTAATAGGTAGTTTATATCATTTTAGTAGCAGAAGGATGACTTTCTGTTTGAAATGTCACTGGATCATGTTATATGCTTATATTTTAAATTTGTGTAAATATCACTTTTTTTCAAAGAAATGAAACCACAACAACAGTTTATAGTGTATAGTTTGCACTCAACAGGAAAACTTTGACACAATATATCAGTATTTAAAAGGTAGCAAAAACATAAACAGCAGCTGCTTTTGCCAATCATAGTAATGGTGCTAAAATGCAAATAAAAAGGGTTAAAAAATGTTTTAAAAAAATTCCACAATTGTATGAAAAAAAATTCCAGTCTTATTTTATCTCTTTTTTTGTTGTTTTTTGGGACACATGTCAATCTCTCATGTGCACATGTGGCAACACAGAGGGGGGCGAAACAGCACTAATTCTTTATGTGAAAGGGTTCTGGGTTAGAAAATGTGAGTATTTTCTAGATATTTAATTCACTATAAATGTATATATGTGAATGATCTTAGTTTCCAACTATGAACAAAGAAAAACAATCTCAAGTGGCTCTTTCTTTGCAGGTCTGTACACGTATGAATCAATAATACACCACGGCAGCAGAAACGATTCAATAAGCCTGCGAGTCTTCGATGGTTGCTATTAACCCCAAGGAAAGGCTCAATAAACAAGCGGGGCAGGTATCAGTGATCTAATTATAACAGCCGTGCGCTGCAGGAACTGTCACAGGAAGTCAGAGGGTTTTCTTCCCTGACACTCGTTAAGAGTAATCAGCTGGAGGGTCTGAGGAGCAGCAGCACTGGAGAGCATGACCGGTGTGCACACATTAGACCTGAGCTGACTGGGGCTTTGGCAAAGGGACATTTGGGATCCCCAAGTTTCGGCAGCTCAAAACAGGGATTTACTGATTTTAATAAATGGGTGATTTGCAAAAGCTTGGGGGTGTTTTATAAATATATTTATTTCCAGTAAAACGCAATCCCACATCACATATGAGGCTATTTGTGAACCAACACAATATTTTGAAACAATAGTGTCTTACTGCTAACATAACCCTTGATCCTCAGAATAACAAAATGAAACGCTAGCATGTTTCATGTGTATGTTAAGCACCTAGCATAGCTGATATAGCCCTTTTGGTCTAATTGAAAGTTTATTGGTCTGTTTTCATGGAATCAGACATTTCTGGAACTTCGGCTCAGTTCACCCTTTAGTCAGTTTATACCCTCATTTCCTTCCCCCATTTGGTTTAACTCCGTTACTGGAATGGATTATCACAAAGTCTAATCGAAAAGACCTGCAGTTTATTCTCATTAGAAACAACAAGCCAGAAAAATTATTTTGGAAAAATGGCATTGTCGTGAAACAGAGGCAAAAAACAGTTTGTAGTCAAAATTAATCTATTATGACTTGAAAACATTAAAAAACAAAAAAAAAAAAAAAAAAAAAAAAACCATGTGTCTCAAAACTGGTTTGTGCCCCAGGGGCCCGCGTCCTATTACATATGAGCGAGACTGCAGCTCCAACAAACCCTTCTACCCCACGCTGACCACAACTCCAAGCGGAGCACACACACAATCACACACACTCCGCTGGTGGTTCCATCACCTTGGAAGTGATGGAAGCAGGTTGGGAAGAAGTTTCTTACCTTCCGCAGGTGCGACTGAGAAGACTTGGATCTTTTGTTCTAAATTTAAAACAAAAAAAAGGATATGGGTTGCAGACCATTTTAAGACACCAGCTCCGGGGGCGCGTGGTTTGTTTCAGGTAGAAGAAGACCACGGGGGCCAGCGTGGGGTAGGGAAGGCTCTCCCCGCCGCCGTGCGTCGAACCCTCGTCCCCAGCCACAGAGATCCCGTCGGGCGCCGGAGACACCGGCTCCATCACCAGCTCGCCGCCACCGCCGACACACTCCACAGCTCCCGTTCCCAGCCCAGACAGGTCGTTCAGCCGGATGAAAGTCCTTGGCAGAGAGGAGCGGCCCTCTGAGCCCCTGGCGTCGGGGAGCGCAGAGACACTTCCCCCATCCTCGGCCATCACTCAGCTCCTGCGGGTGATCAAATGGTGGACGACTATGTGTGAAATTTCAACCTACTGAGCCGACTTTATGAAATAAATAATAATAGCTTTGTTTTGTGTTTGCACAGGTGGCTTAAATTACCTAGTTTAATTTGTTACCGTTAGTCTTGTTAAACTAATGCTAAAGTCTAACTAGAAATGAAATTTAAATAAATTTACAGTCTGAATGTAAAGAAAGAACACAGATTATTTTAGAAACGCTAAAAAAATACATTTTGGAAGGTATTGTATATTAGTCGTTAAAAATAATTTTAACCTAATTTAGTAGAAGATGTTTCTTTAATTAGCCAACAGCTCTTGTTTTTCCATTATCTGCAGGTCTAGGAGAGAGCAGTGAGACTGACAGGCTTATGGATTACACTATGACAGAATGCAAAGTGGAGAAACCAACAGCCAATAGCATATCAAGTAACATTGTGCCTACATATTTCAGTTTCCCAAGCAACATTTTCTTTTGAATATTCTAATGTGCGAGGGGGGAAAACAATAATAAATGAGCGAATGGGAGGATTTCTGTGAATAAGTAGAAGTTCTGTTCCACAGAAAAATCTGCAAATGCTGAACTGCAAATAGGTGGGGATTCGCTGTATTACATCTAAAAGGTTTATTTTTAAAGACTTCTGGTTGAAAAAGTTTGTTTTTGGACAAAGGATACAACTTTGTCCACAACTTTAGCCAGCTTAGAAACAGCACTAATCCTAATGCTAACATAAGATTTGCTAGCAAACTCAGCACAATCCTCAGTGGAACTGCAAATCTGTCAAATCACAGTCATCATGCATTAGACATTTCACACAACCTCTTGTTTTCAACATTTGATGGGTTATTAGCTTTGTGTCAGGTGTGATGTCTGGACCCCTACAACTCATTCTAAGACCCTCATCTAAACCATTTTCGCAATAATTGTTAAGATTAAAACAGCATGTTTTCCTAACATAGTGCAGCCTGTCATGCAGGGTGTCATGGATAAAAATTAATCTTGGAGGGCGTTAAATATTTTTACTTATTTATAATTATTTCAATTTTAATCAAGTACATTTGGTTCCAAATGTGATATTGAACGATGATTTACATTTTCATTGGGAATTTATTTTGGTAATAATTGACATTTTTCCATGTACAGTGTCCACTTTGTCCAAAACATTGTGTAAGTTTATATCCAGTCTAAGGTACTTTAGCAACGATGTTAGCAAGCTGAGCTTCATACCTCTAACGGTAGAAAGGGCGTTTACGTTCCAACTTCTCAGAAAAGTTCTCAACTATTTAAAACTTTTGAGCAACAGCTTATGCCTTCTTCTACTTTGTCATTTGCTTTTAGCATGACAAAATGAGGAAAAACAATAATAATAAAAATAAGCTAAAACTTAATACAATTTAGTAGATAGTTATACTATAAGCAAAAATTTACGTTTTATTTTAATGCATCTAGTCCACATGAGCTCCATAAGCAAAGAGTATTCCAGGTAATCTCTTTCTACACCGATGAACCACAGCAGTGCAGTTATTTTTGTGGGTCTTCTGTCACATCTGTCTCATTTCTTTCTCATTATGTTCCATTAAGATTCAAATATAAGCTAAAAAAGTTAATGACTGAGAGAAAACATCAAACAGTATGAATAAAAGCATTAGTTACATTTTTTTGTCCAATTCTTCTGAATCATTAGCCTAGCGATGCATTAGCCTCGCTCAGGATCACGAATGTCAGCGTTAACGGCATTGCCACCTGCTGGCATGGAATAGGTATTACAGCAGTTTTGACTTAACCTGCAGACTGCACAGAAACAGTCAATAAAAGGGTAGAAAAATATCTTAATAAAATACATATGCAAGTAGTGTAGCAAAGGCCTTGATTGAATAAGATTTTTTTAAAAGAATTTTATTGTAGTTTGGAGCGAATGAGTTTGTTTAATTTCCATAATACTGACTCATAAAAAACTGCGTGCAACTTGCAACACCAATTTTACTGTCTGCTACTTGTTTCAGATTCATCTATGCAAAAAAGCTAATTAGCCTCAAAAATACTTTAAACATCCTCAATTCTAAACCACACAATGGTTTGCTGAGGAATAATATGTTACTGTCCAAAATATGTATGCAAATCTTTGCATCTTATTATAGCTTCCAGTTTGCTTTGATCCCTTAGTTTACAGAGAATAAACGAATAAAATCATTTGTTCAAACGGAACTAATTTGTCAGTTTTTTTAATATTATTGCGCTCGTTACTGAGCCTCTGTCAGTTCAGACAGTGCTGCATTCCTTTTCAACAGAAACAAAGCACCGATCACCCGCAGTCCGTATTATCCGCTCCTACACTTAAGCAGCATCCTCACAATAAAACCTCCCATCATGTGTTGATTTAATGTATTTATTTTCGCAAAGATATACTGCTCGATTCGTTCTCTCTCTTTTTAATTTTATTTTATTACCTGTAATGGACTCTGTAGATGTGCCAAAAGCGCGCCCTGTCATCACATGATCAGTTTCTGTCCAAGCCGTAAAGTCCGCACCAGCCTGGGGGAGAAAAAAAACTCCATTTGCAAAAAAAAAAGAAAAAAAAAAAAAGGAAAGATTAAACGAAGGAAAGGTGAACAACGTGTTGTAGGAAGACTATCAAAAAAAAAAGAAAAAAAAGGAAAAACCAAACAAAAAAAGCGGAGACCCTCTTCTTGTGGGTTTGGTGCGTCAAGCGGAGCGTATATAGTTTCCAGGTGGTGCGCCGCGCCGCGCTCTGCTGCAGACGCGGTGCGCTCAGGCCCCGGTCTCCCCCCCCCCCCCAGGACCCCCGCCGGCGCCTCTCCGGGAGCGCTCACCGACACCTCATGACCATCTCATATGGAGAAAAAAAATAAACAAATAAAAAAAATCCCATTAAACCTTTTTTATTAGAATAATGACGCCGTGCGCAAACTTCCTTCTTCTCAGGACAAGCAGAGGAAAGCCTTCTTTACAAAAAACAGAGAGGAGAGAAATAACCAATCCCGGCTGGCTTTCCTCATTCGGGAAGAGAATCCAACACTTCCAGCCGCATCCAGACGCCGTTTTCCTTGCTCGCTGGTTCCTCAGTAGTTATGCATTCTTAAAAGATCCATGGAGATGCTGCTGCGCATCCTCGTCGTTGCGCACTGAAAGCCTCGCGCCCCCTCGGCGCCCCCACCTCCTCTCTTCCTCCGCTGTTGCGCACATGAAAGACCGGGTGCTCCTGCTCTCGCACTGGTCTGCTCCAGACTGCACCGCTCGGTTCCGTCCATCCGCGAAGCTCTCACAGCTGGATCATGATGGGAGAGAGAGAGAGAGAGAGAGAGAGATGGGGGACGGAGTAGTGGTGGGGTGTGTGGGTGTTCTCCAAAACTTCTCACTCCCCCCTCCTTCGCCCCGACGCGCGGACAGCTCTGCGCCAATCGGAGCGCGCGGACGCTCGGAGCTCCCTCCTCTCCGGTTGGGCTGGGTTTGTCAGTTGAAGTTCGAGCCGGGGCGCGAGAGAGAGAGAGAGAGAGAGAGAGAGAGAGAGAGGTGAACTGGCGAAACAGCTGGAATCCTAATATCCGCCGACAGCCAATGAGAAGCGAGGTAGTGACGGCATGCGAGGAGCGCCGCGGCGCGATTGGTGCAGAGGGATTTACGAAGGGAAAGTTTGAGGAGGAGGGGGAAGAAGTTGCCGCACGTGGAAAACGAGAACTTGAAAGGTGGAAAAAGTTAAAGAAAAAAAAAACGTCTCGGGTTTTTTTTTTTATTATTCCTTCAGAAACACGAAATTACCTCGAGTCAAAATCAAAACACACACAAAAACAAACGGACTGATTTGTTTGACATTACTCAAACCAGTTGAAACCTTCGTAAAACTTGATTTTATTTGAGGAATGGATTTTCAGAGAATGAGTACGAGCAATATTCAGTGATAAATTTGTTTCGCTTGAACAAATGATTTTTTATTTATATTTTTTAGCTAAGAAAAATATTTGTAAGCCATTACTTAACTCAAAATAGCCAGCACGAGGCAAGCATCTGGTATTATTTGTCCATAATTGTGAAGCGATAGCACAAAGTCACTCATTTTGGACGTGAACTGTCATTTTTAAGCCTCGGCACACTTTTTAAATGAGTTTTAGGTCTGGAATTTTAAACTTCTGAATACTATTGCGAGCTATTATTATTCCATATCAGATTTTGTGTGGAGAAAAATAAAAGAAAGTTGATTTATTTGTTCACTTGCTTCATACGTGTGGGGCGCAGAACTCTCTCTCTCTCTCTCACACACATACATACACACGCACACGCACACACACGCACACACACACACACACACACACACACACACACACACACACACACACACACACACTGCACCTAGTGGCCACTAGAGGAAGTAGTTTCCCCAGGCTGTTTGCATCTCGCGCTCTCTCTCATACACACACGGTTAGATCCACAGCTGGTTTGCAAACTACAACACCCCGAGGTAGAGCTGCTCTTTCTACTTTTTTATGTGATAGAGGGATTTATAAACCCTGCTGCACCCATACACACACTTCTAATCAGTCATTTGGAAAATGATTCACTACGCAGCAGCAGTTAACTTTATTTTCATTACAGCGTATCATCATTGATCTGAGAGCGGCTGGGAGCGAATCGATGGCGAGGACCGATTTCTTTTTCATGGCGTCTGTTCCCGCCATGGTGCGGCGGATATGAATCGCCTGGGCTGGGGGAAGTGAAAAACCAAACAGGTGATTCAACTTTTAAAAAAAATAAAATAAGTTAATTTGTTACAAGTAATAAAATTAAGTTTATCCAAGTTGTCATGTTGAACAAATAAGTTTGACCAACTTAATTCGATAACACGTAATGTTTTGTTGTTGTTTTTTTAAGTTGGAGCTTCATTCTCTTTTTTCAGTGTATAGAAGGCAAAAAAAATCAACCACATGACCTAAAATCAACCAAAAAATAAAATAAAATGTAGGTTATGTGGTCTGGGGGGTGGAGGTTGCATCTACCAAGTTCTTCCTGCTAATCTTTTGAACCTCAGTTGGGTTGATCAGTTGGAGGAACGCATTGAGGCACTTCAGAAAGAAACAAACAGAAGGGGAAGCTAGCTAACACCTGACAGGTTAGGAATTAATAAGAAGCAATTATTATGTTTTTATTATTTATTAAATGTAATCAAGTTTTGATGTGCAATCGAAATCCGCCAACAGCAGCAGAGGGGATCGGACCGTTTTTCAAAGACAGACTTTATTTTTATTTTATTGCATTTTAAAGGGGCAGTATTATGTAACATTGGCTTTTTGAGTTTCCATCATTCTATCATCTTAATCCCATATCTTTCATGCATGTTTGAGAAATCCTTTGATCTCCTTTGGCAACCATTCAGCTGTGCAAAACGCCTGGGTGAACCTAGCCCCGCCTTTAAGACTAAGCTCCTCCTCAGAGCTTCCAAGCTTCCACATTACAGAACAGCTCTCCCCCCGCACTCCTCTCACAAGGCGGAGTTTCAGAAGGATGAGGAGTTCTTAAAGCAACAGAGGACCAATTTCAAGACGTTAAACTACAAAGCAAAATTTCTTTTTAAGTATATATACAGCATTTTTATAAAAACTGAAGCTACCATAGCTAACTGATTATGCTATAAGATGGTGCCTGGAAAATACATAATACTGCCTCTTTAGCCAGGCCCTTACACAAATATTACAATATTTTTTTCGTTTTTTAAAAATACAAAAACTCAGAGTGGAACCTTTGTATTTGTGTGTTTCTGGTACAGCCATAAATTGTTTATGAGTGAATGTAGCACTAATTCTGGTCCCCCAATAGAACAGAAACATTTAAGAAATGTCTCGAGTCCTTGTCAAACGGCGTTTTGACTAAAGTACAAAGGGTTGGAGTCCCAGTTTACAGCGTCTCAACTAAAGTTCTACAGCTTTTTATTTCTCTTTCTCACTGTTAATGTTTTAATTATGCTTTTTAAATCTCTTTCTCTTTCTCACATGCTGTTTTTATTTTAATTATGTAAAGTACTTTGAAATGCCATGCTGCTGAAATGTGCTATACAAATAAAATTTGATTGATTGATGTGGGACAAAAAGGGAATTACAAAACACTTATCTCTAGAAGTCAGAAATTCTTAACTTCGTGCTTCTCCTGACTACCAGTAGTTCATTTTTGTCCTCTGTAGAGGACATTTCTAAACTTGAATATCTCCCACCCCCTACATTCTACTGAATTAATTCCTTTTGGTATCTGGAGAGGACATTTAGGGCTTTTAAATGATACCACGTCTGAAGGGGTGGGGCTTTTGTACGTACCTTTTTCTAATTCATAAAAATGGTGTTCATCAGTAATAACACATTTTATGGGAAGAGACAAAGTAAGTGCATAAAACCCTTTATTACCTTACAAAGACTGTGGGATTTTAAAAAAATGGTAATTGGACAATATTTTTTTTCCTGGTAGTCAGGAGGTTAATTGAAAAAAACTTAGAAAGTCTTTTAACCCCCTGTTGGACCAAGAAACCCTCTGCTGCCTTAAAACAAAGTCTGTATTCTTGGCAATGGCATATTTAAGCCTTTTCTGCAAAATTTAATGACAGAAAGAAAATTTTCCTTCCACTCAAATATGACCTTATTATACAGATCTCCAAAACATAATAATCTTAAGTGCACTTACAGCCCACTTCCCCTTTCATCTCTTCCCAAAGCTATTAGTGATTTAGGGGGGAAATAGCGTTTCAAAATGCTGCCCCTGTCTGCTCAGATTCAGGGGCAACAGCCAGTCGCCCTCTCGGTAATGAGAGGGAGATTTTTATAGAGGCAGATATCTTTGTAGAGGTTATGATAGATCATCTTGTCCCTACTTAACTTACTAAGAATGTAGTGATTAGTTGATCTGAGATCACGGTTCTCATGTCTTTTAATCTACGTAGTTTTATGGTTTGTTTTATGTCTCCGATGATGTCCGTTTGGTTTTTGGTTGGACCCGAACACAGACGGGTCAGAGGCAAAGATGTAAATTAAAGAGTTTTAGTGTTAAAAAAAAAGCAAAGACTTTTTACAGTACTGGCATTAAAAAGAACAGAGTAACAGAAGACCCCAGTAAGGTTTAATGAAAAACCAGGAGCATAAATTATAATAAATACAAAAGGAACTATGTGAGCTAATCAGAGGGGATGTAGAACAGCCGTGGCAGAGAGGCAGCAGGAAAACTGAGGGAGGGATGCTAACACAAAAGGAGCTGGATTAAAACTCAAAAAAATAAAAAAAAAAAAGGGAGGGGGCACACCCAAACTAACAGAAGAGAATAAACTGAAAAGGAACAGAAACTAATGAGGAAGGAATGAAACAACATGGCAAGGTGTAAACGACAATAATGAACCCAGAAATGATATGAAAGGACACAGAATACTAACACCTGTTGACAATGACAGCTGTAAAGGACGGAGATGCTAATTTAAATTTAGAAACAACGCAAAAAGACATATGGTTAAAAAAGGTCCATGTTTAAATTAAACATGGATCTCCTTGTATGAGCTGATTTCGGGGAGAAGATGGATGTATTTTGTATAATACTACTGATACTGTTTTTTAAAGGCTTATCACGTGAACAAGCTTATTCACATGTGATTTTAATCGTTTTTCTCATTTAATGGAAACGCCACAATTGCGAAATTGCAATTGTGGAAAATCCACAACGTTTTGCGCACATTGTAAAGGAAATGCAGCTTATGTGTTCATCCATCCATCATTTAATTACTTTGTCCCTTCTCCATCAGCCCCAGGTTCACTGATGTCCTCGTCAACCAACTACCGCACAATCATCTGTTTGTCAATCCATACAACCATAAATCAATCCATCTTTGCAGGTTCCATTCCCAAGCTCAGCCTCTGAAAATCAATCTGCAATAAAGTCACAGAGAGCCTCTGTGTCTGTACTTTCAGAAACGGAGCCAAAACCTAATACCTCTGATAATTTTGAGTCTGGAAAAGTACAGGACCTGAACTTGAGAAATGCTTTGGAACTCTTCGCCAAGAACAAAACCGACGAAGGGGATGGATCAGACTTAGCATGGAAGAAGAAGAAAAAACACACAACACAGCTACAGCTCCTGCTGTCAAGTGTGAAACTAAGATTAGTATCGGTGAGCAGAGTGAGCGTCAGAACAATCAGAAGCATTTGCTTCAAATTCCAACGGGACGCTTAGAAGAAGGGTTTCAGCTTTACAGCAGTGTTTATAATGTGCAGTGACACAACCGAGATTATTAATGATCCAACATTTGTGATTCACATCAGTGTACAGTCCGTCATCCGTTGAAAGTACAAGAAGGGAGTATCGCAGGAAAACAACATGCTAGAAGGTAATTTTCGGTTAATGTATGAATTCAATTTGTCCAGAGTGGGGGAGACGTCAACCCACCAAAACGGGCAGAAGGAAAACCGCTCAGTTGAAATG